GGACTTGAGATTATGCAAGAAGAGCAAGTAGTGAGCCCACCGTCCCCACCCAACCCCAACTACGTTCACCTGGTTAACTCCACTTGTGGGGTTACCTGGAAGACTCAGGCAGGTGATAAATGAGACACTTGTACAACGTTTGTGTATCTTTATTATGGAAACGTTTCGTCCAGTGCAGAGAAAGGTGGAAGGTGAGCAGGAGTTTGAGGTAATCAGTCCCTCAGTCTGAAGTCGATGTGTACAGTCCATCACTCTTGCTAAAAGTGCAGTATATTAGCGGAGACGCGGCTTATGTACTGCTGACAGATGAGGTGGAGGAAACCATGTTTTCTTTTGTAATGTCTCAGGCTGAACGCGATATACGTAGTTTTCTATGCTCTTTTTTTCCCCTTTCTAGTTTGCTGAGTCGTCGTAATATAGTTTCCTGTGTCTGAGTCACTTAAGTGAGAGTTATGTCTGGTGTCTTTAGAGTGTCGCTTCTCACTTTCGCTTTTTTTTTTTTTAATGTGAAGTGATAAAAGTCTCGGAGTATATTGTATCGTCATCTCTCATGTTCACTATATCCCTTAAGTGTTGCATGAAGTTCCTCGTGGCTGTTATCTCTCTCATTCTCGCAGGATATCTTCACATGTTGGATTTTAGTAGCTCCTCGTTGCTGTGTCCAGAATTAGACTCCCAAAAGTGAGGCTTCCCAGATAGGTTTCTGGTCTATGTTTCCCCGACTGAAATCACCCTTGATGAGCACTTTAGCTCTGGTTCTTTCTGCCATCACTACTGTTTGTATTATAGTGAAGTTATACACTATCTATTGCATACATGGAAATTAATTTTTCATAAAATCCCACTTGCATAAAGGGGGAAACTTTTGGGAAAAAATATACACAGTCACCACTGTGAATTACTTTCGATCCAACACGGTCTTTGAATAGGAACTATCAATTTGTATTCAATAAATCGCCATTAACCCATTACACTTTTTTTTAAGCTGCCAGAGACCGTGTACAATCATCCAACTGTCACTGACCCAGTGCACTCCTCCGACTGTCACTGACCCAGTGCACTCCTCCGACTGTCACTGACCCAGTGCACTCCTCCGACTGTCACTGACCCAGTGCACTCCTCCGACCGGCACCCGACCAGTGCACTCCTCCGACTGGCACTGACCCATGCACCCCCTCGACTGGCACTGACCCAGTGCACTCCACCGACTGTCACTGACCCAGTGCACTCCACCGACTGTCACTGACCCAGTGCACTCCTCCAACTGTCACTGACCCAGTGCACTCCTCCAACTGTCACTGACCCAGTGCACTCCTCCGACTGTCACTGACCCAGTACACTCCTCCGACTGTCACTGACCCAGTGCACTCCTCCGACTGGCACTGACCCAGTGCACTCCTCCGACTGGCACTGACCCAGTGCACTCCACCGACTGTCACTGACCCAGTGCACTCCTCCGACTGCCACTGACCCAGTGCACTCCTCCGACTGTCACTGACCCAGTGCACTCCACCGACTGTCACTGACCCAGTGCACTCCTCCGACTGGCACTGACCCAGTGCACTCCACCGACTGTCACTGACCCAGTGCACTCCACCGACTGTCACTGACCCAGTGCACTCCTCCAACTGTCACTGACCCAGTGCACTCCTCCAACTGTCACTGACCCAGTGCACTCCTCCGACTGTCACTGACCCAGTACACTCCTCCGACTGTCACTGACCCAGTGCACTCCTCCGACTGGCACTGACTCTACGGTCTGTACAAAATTATCACTGACTTCCGTGCACTTCTCTAACTGGCACCGACTCTGAGAACATAAGAAAGGAGGAACACTGCAGCAGGTCTACTGACCCATACCAGGCAGGTCCATCTTAAGCCCAAAGCCCCCTTAACAAAAATATTTACCCAGCCCATTTTCAATGTTACCCAAGGAATAACCCTAATAACTCATGCGCAAGTCCCACTCAAACCCAACCCCTTCTCATACACTTATCTAGCCTAAATTTGAAGCACTCCCGTGGGTTCTCCCAGCGGCTCCCACCTCGCCTCCTGTTCTTCCAACGCCAAAACTTCAAAGAGGTAGAAATCAGAGTCGCCAAGTTTCGCTGCAAACAAAAGCTAATGGCCAGACTGCATTAGCCAACTTTTGCAACTGATATCAAACTAGATAAAAAAAAAAGAAGCAAGAACATCCGACGGAGATAAAATGTTGTAAAAGAGTTTTGCAGGTTGAAAATGGCCGTAAATCTCGCTTGCATTTTTCCCGTTTAACTAGTTTAATGCTGAACCCTGGATCAAAGGACACCATAACTACATTTTTTGTGTTATAGCTTCAATGATGCAATGAGAGAGAGAGAGAGAGAGAGAGAGAGAGAGAGAGAGAGAGAGAGAGAGAGAATAATTATGGAAATTACTTAGGACTAGGCTAGCTAAAGTTGCAAAAAGCTAACCTGCCTAGGCTGCATTATTTACTAAGAGTAATTCCTTATGAAAATTGTTTTTACAGTCATTATAACAATCATGCGAGTACGTACGTACACATACATTCACTCTCTCTCTCTCTCTCACACACACACACACACACACACACACACACACACACACACACACACACAAGGTCATGTGAATTAGAGAAGGTGAGAGGAGACCTGACACAGGCGGAGTAAAGCTGCATATATCAGAGTGAAAGGAACCTACGACCTTGATCACTTCTAATATATAGGCGGAGAGTCGGGAGTGACACATGGTGACCTGAAGCATATTATGTTGAGATGAGGACGGGTAGACAATGGGATCATGTGACTCCTGTGTTTTTAGGTAGGTTGTGCTTTACCTGGTTGAGTATCACGTATGCTAATGTTATTGAAATTTTGTAGTTTCTAGCATTATGTTCTATGGTGTCGGTGATGGCGATTAGCGAGGCTTCCAGATATCGTCTGCGTCTAAGATCCTGTTCGGTGAGGGCTTGAGTCTGCAATCTCGGATAAAGAAAGATGGAAAATAAAGACGTGTGATAGCTTCTGTTATGTAGATGCATTCTTTTTCAAGGAAATTGGGGCTAGAAATGCGAAGAGTTCTCAAGAAGCCAATACAGACTCCTGTTTTAGTGCGGGTGTCTCGGTGCGAATAAAAGTGAACAAGATCGTCCTTTTTGGTAGGTTTTCTATACACTTTGAAAAGAAGTTTGTCACTGTCGAGAGACCTGCGCAGGAGAATAATGCATCTACATAATACAAGCCTTCACACATCTTCAATTTCCACAATTCTTCATCCGGGACTGCAGACTCAAGGCACAAGCTATCCACAACAAATCCCCCATGGAACTGTCCTCTAAGTAGTTCACAGTGGTCCCATGTGGTGATGTTGCCAGAAATACTCGCCAGGTACTTGCTAAGAGCAACATACTTTATCTGTCAAAGCCCTCACTATGAAACATATCCCTACACCTCTAACTTCCACAGCGGGCTTATACACCATTCCCTGTGGATACTGTCCCAAGGAATATGTTGGGAAAGCAGGTAGAAATCTTTCTGTCATCCTGAACGAACATCGAAACGCCAACAACACAGACGACCTAAGGTAGACCTGTGTCCTCCACAGGGACTCCACGGGACATTTGATGAATTAGAATGAGCCACATCTCGTCCTCACCGAACAAGATTTTAGGCGCCGTCATCGACAACGTAGAACATAATACTGAATTGAAAATAAACATTAGCATACATGCTATTCAACCAGGCAAAGCACCACCTACCTAACAACACAGGAGTCACATGATGGAAGTGATCATGGTTCCAGGACCGAAACATTTTCTAATAAATATATTCTAAAATTTGCTCACGTGTCTTTCTAAACCAATTTGTCGGTATCTAATACCAAGATTTATACTAAAAATACACTTGTATCGAATATATCGGCGGCATAAACAGGATTAGCAAACCTCAAATAGCATTCAGAAACTTTAATAAAGAATCCTTCAGAACCTTATATACGACATAAGTTAGGCAAGTCTCCGAGGACGCATGGAGCCCATACCTGATAAAGTAAAAAAATGATCGAAAAGTTATGCAATCAGGTTAGTATCCGAAGTAAGAGAGATGCACTCTGACGAAAGGTTGAAGGAACTAAGCCGGGCGATCTTGGCTGAGAGAGAGACAAGGGGCGACATAATTACGACATGCAAAATCCTAAGAGGAATAGACAGGGCAGATAAGGACAAACCGTTAAAATTTAGAGGCTCGGGATCAAGAGGACCACAAATGGAAGCTGAAAATACTAATGAGCCCTAGGGATCTAAGGAAGTATTTGTTTAGTTTCAGGGAGGGTGAGAAATGGAATGACTTGGATGGAGGCAAACTCAATACGCAACTTCGAGATGAGGCACAAGAGGCCACAAATCAGCGATACCAATGACAGTAGCCTAGGAGGTAGGGCCAGGAGCTAAATATCAACCCTCGCAAACACAACCCCGTGAGTACACACATATACACAGTATGCAGCACCAGTTTGGAACCTAACATCTGGTCAACCACGTCAAGAAATTAGAGAAAGTGCAAAGGGTTGCAACAAGACTAGTCCAAGAGCTAAGGGGAATGTCCTACGAAGAAAGGTTAAGGGAAATCGGCCTGACGATACTGGAGGACAGGAGGGTCAGGGAAGACATGATAACAACATATAAAATACTGCGAGGAATTGATAAGGTGGAAAAAGATTGGATGTTCCAGAGACGGGACACAGGAACAAGGGGTCACAATTGGAAGCTGACGACTCAGATGAGTCAAAGGGATGTTAGGAAGTATTTCTTCAGTCATAGAGTTGTCAGGAAGTGGAATAGTCTGGACAGTGACGTAGTGGAGGTAGGAACCATACATACGAACTTTGATAAAGCTCATGGAGTAGGGAGAGGACCTAGTAGCGATCAGTGAAGAGGCGGGGCCAGGAACTATGAATCGACCCCTGCAACCACAAATATGTGAGTACACACGCACACTACTCACGAGAACGTAGCGTTGGGATCAACTCCTGGTGATGCCCGGGGCAGGTGAAGGATGTTAGCAGGAAGTCCATCCTCAGAGACCCATTTCTGTTCCAGTGGCTCCTGCTGCGACATGGTGGTGTCCTGCGCCATTTGGAAGAGGATCTGTTGGGGTCAAGAACTGTGGGTCAGATGATCTGGTCAAATTATAGGTAAGGAATTTTCGCCATTTTAAGATCCGAGTAGCTTCACAGTCAACAGAATTTTACATGCACTTCTTGGCCTTATGAATTGTTCTTGTCAGTGACTTGATGATAAGTATTGAATAATAGAAGAAAAAGAAGAAGAAGAAGAAGAAGACGAAGAAGAAAGAAAGAATATTCTATTAGTAATCCCGGAGGGTAACTAAGAATAACCCCCTCCCCTTCCCCCGAAAAAGCAGTGCGGCTCATTTCCATTGGCCTCTTTTTTGGGTCTTCCTCAAGATGTGATCCGCAGCAATCGACCAGCTTGTATAAATGCATCTAACTTGATAAATGAATTTTAACTTGATAAATAAATCTCATAACTTGATAAATGAATCTCAGCATGGATTCACGAGAGGTCGTTCCTGCCTGACAATTATTGTTATAATAAAAAAGAAGCGCTAAGCCACAAGGGCTATACAGCACCTGCCTGACAAACTTGCTGACGTTCTTCAATAGAACATTTGAGGCAGTAGACAGTGATAAGGAATATGATATTGTTTATTTGGATTTTAGTAAAGCTTTCGATAGAGTACCTCACAGGAGACTTTTGAAAAAAGTGGCAGCTCATGGTATAGGAGGTAAAGTTCAAGCATGGATAGAGGCATGGCTTACCTATAGAAAGCAGAGAGTTACCATTAATGGAGTGAAATCTGAATGGGGATTAGTCACTAGTGGCGTACCACAAGGATCAGTTTTAGGCCCTCTCTTGTTCATAATTTACATTAATGATCTTGATGAAGGGATTACGAGTGACATGAGTAAGTTTGCTGATGATACAAAGATAGGCCGTATAATTCACTCTGAGGAGGATAGCAATGAACTCCAGGACGATTTGGACAAATTAATGTCCTTGTCTGAAAAATGGCAGATGAAGTTCAATGTGGATAAGTGTAAGGTACTTGCCCTTGGTAATGAAAATAACCCTCGAAGCTATAATCTATGTGAAGTAGAGCTTGATCATACAGAATGTGAAAAGGACTTGGGAGTCATGGTGAGCAGAAATCTAAAGCCAAGACAGCAGTGCCTCAGTGTGCGCAACAAGGCCAACAGATTACTTGGATTTATCTCAAGAAGTATAAGTAACAGAAGTCCAAAAGTTATTTTACAGCTCTACACATCACTAGTGAGGTCTCATTTAGATTATGCTGCTCAGTTTTGGTCCCCTTACTACAGGATGGATATAGACTCATTAGAGAACATACAGAGAAGAACGACTAAAATGATTTACTGTGTAAGGAACCTCCCGTATGAAGATAGACTTAAAGCCTTAAATCTCCACTCTCTGGAGAGGCGTAGAATGAGGGGAGATATCATTGAAGTGTATAAGTGGATGACGGGCATAAACAAGGGAGATACTGATAAAGTACTGAGGGTGTCGAACCAGGTAAGAACCAGAAATAATGGATTTAAGTTGGATAAATTTAGATTTAGAAAGGACATAGGTAAGTACTGGTTTTCTAACAGAGTTGTAGATGCGTGGAACAGTCTTCCCAGTGGGGTGATAGAGGCTAGGACATTGGGTAGCTTTAAGAAGACACTGGACAAATATATGAGTGGGAGGGGCTGGGTTTGATTGGTGTCATTGGATACGGGAGTTATTTCTTGGGTAGCTTTAGGTAGAGATCGTTTTGATAAGGACCTGCCTCGCATGGGCCAGTAGACCTTCTGCAGCGTTCCTACATTATGTTCTTATGTTCTTACACATCTATTTACTGCTAGGTAAGAGGGGCAGTAGGTATTAGGAGACCTTCCCATGCGACCCAGTCTGCCCGTGATACAGCCCAGTTCCATGTTTGGAGTCGAACTCTCTATCACTTTAACTATGAGGTGTATCAAACCTTTTACTAAGATGAAAACGAAATTCAGGAAAACCTGTATACACTAAATACAATAATATGAAAAACTCGTCACTAGGTTTTACGTAAGTCTACCATACAGCTTTTTTTTTTTTTTAAGAGAAAAGTTAAAACACTTTTCGCTGGGAGAGTTGGCTCTGTTCTTGAAAGTTTATTATTCTGGTTGCTGTCTTCGCCAGTACACAGCTGCCTTCATGGTCACTCGAAATCGCAGAGTTAATTTAATGAAAACACGTGCTGGAAAATTCAGTCTCACAATGGTAGGTGCAACGAAGCAGCAAACTCTCTACATATATTTATAAAGGTCGAGGCAACTGGCTTTCCTCGGGCGGGGTTCGAATCCATGTTACATACACATGCTGTACACAATCCATAAACAGTCGTGTTTGAACTCAATGGCTTGTCCTTGTTTTGATTTGTTTTGAATGCTTTTGTTTCATGTTGCAACAGCAAGTAAACAGGTGTTATGCCAGGTCAACAACACTCACACGAAGGATGCATGAGGTGGCTTCACACTTGTCACAGCAGAAATCAAGGACATTTCCTAAAAATGTGCCAAACGAACTACCAGCTTTAGGAAAGACAGTACACAAGACACGGTACACAGGAGAGTAGGATTCATCTCAGCAGTTGACAACACAACTCACCGAGCCGCTGGTACACCTCATGTCTTATCAATCGTCAATGTGCTTTCCGTGTTCACCCTCTAAGGTGGCTTCCGTGACGCTGGCGAATTGGAGCTATCCTCCAATTCCTCGGGTCAAACCTGATTACCTTTCACTTCCCAGGCACTGTGTAATCCTTATAGGTTTCGCTCTTCCAAATGATTATAATAATAATAATAATGAAAATATAATAATTAATGAAAATAATTTACAACTTCAGCTCCGGCTTTGTGACTCCATAACCTGGGACAGATCCCCTCACATTACTGAACCACCTGTCTCATGTTACACTCGGCACATGCCACCGATGTAGCCAGAATCAGCTTCAAACGCCGAGGCGAATACACACATCTTCACCTCTGAAATACAGCTGTATCTTCATTAATATACATACTTTTGAAATTTAAAAAAAAAATGCATTTTTAGTTTCCTTTCACCCACTATAACGAAAATCATGAAAGAAATTTAAGTCACTGATAAGACCTGCAAATGTTTCCCTGACAGAGGGATCAGCATTGACTGCATGTCTGACATCCAGTCTTGACAGGTGAGAAAACAGGTCAAGCGTTTATCGTTTCCTATTTGATTCCCAAGTGTTTGAAATCTGACAAAAAAACTTTCTCCAGATTGTACTTTTCACAGTTCCAGTTGCATCCTAAATACAGTGTTAAGTAAAAAAAAAAAAAAAAACCTAAACGGTAATAGACGATTTGAGAGCCTTTTCTTTTTCTATAAATCCCTGGAGGAATTTCTTGTGATTTCTCTAATTATCTGGATGGCTTAGCGCTTCTTTTTGATTATAATAATAATAATCTAATTATCTGGAGCTATTATCACCATTCAAAAACTCTCTTTACAATAATTTTCAATGAGAGTCAATGAACTTGAATATAATAAAGGGCGCATCATTAGTGCTCCGTATTCTAAATGCTGGCACAGGAGTTGAAGATATGCATTTCAGGCTGTTATATAGCCAGCACACTTTGATGTTCCTGAGGAAATATTTTGAAATTCATGGCTTGTCAGGGAATCATTTATTACTGTTCGTGGGATCGAGCTGATAGCGTCCCAGCCATAAGGGACTCATGGTATAAACGTTGGTAATATATATGGACAAACTTGTTTTGAAAAAACACGTAAGCAAACACTAGAACATATTTGTTAGAAAACGTTTTAGTCCTGAGACCTTCTTCATTTCTTGATCAGAAGTGATCAAGGTCCCATGACCGAAACGTTTCCTAATAAATAAGTCCTGGAGTTTTCTCACGTGTCTTTTTAAATCACGAGGGACTCGTCTTACCCTGGGAGACACTAAGACTCTAAGTACTCGGCATAGAAGACACTCCTTGACACAAGTGACTTACCTTAGCGTGGGTGAGGTCGTTGCCGGCCTGCATGCTGTACGATGCCCAGTGGGAGCCAGCCAGGGACACCCGGCTGCCGGGTAGGGCCGATACTGTGACCCTTAGGCCCTCGTGGCCTGCGTCCTCCTGTAGAGCCACACGGAGGCCCTTCCTAGTGAGGGCATCGACGGGGAAGGTGAGGGCGTCAGCCACTAGCTCCTCGTCTCGTCCCAAGGTGTATACCACCACAGTAGCCACTCCAGCCACCTCTGCTGACAGCGGCAGTGGGAAGGTCTTCAACGAGGCCTGCTCAGAGGGAGGAAGAGATATGGGAAAATGCAGTCCGTCTGTCTGTCTGTCTGTCTGTCTGTCTGTCTCTCTCTCTCTCTCTCTCCCTCTCTCTTGCAAAATGCAATAGCTATCCAAGAAAGTTATCCCAGTATCTCATAAGCCCAGCCCCATCTACGTTAATTCCAGCATAAGGAACAGTACAGAGAGCACCGTAAGATTCTAGTGTAGTCAAATAACAGCACTGAAGATTTAAAAGAAAGGCGTTCACGTGTTATCGCACAGAAACTAATAACCCAAACTCTGATGACACTGTTCAGGTCATTCGTTCTCTCTGGGCTGGGATATTGCTGTGTATTAACGGCCCCCTTCAAAGCGGGATAAACTGCTATCAGCACTTAAAGTTTGTAGATCTGTACTCCTTAGAACGTAGTCGAGAAAGATACATCATAATCTACACCTGGAAGATACTGGAAGGATTGGTACCAAACCTGCACATCGAAAATACTACTAATTAACACAAGAGGCTTGGCAGACGGTGCAGGACACCTCCAGTGAAAATCAGGGAAGTGGTGAGTAAAGAGATAACTCAGTAAGTGTTAAGGGACCACGACTCTTCAAGACCCTTTTTCATGCATAAGGGGAATTATCAACGAACCTCAAGCTGCCTTCAAGATTAAACTTGACAGATTCCTCAAAACAGATCATAATTTTTAAAGGGGTGGACCGGTAAGCCAGCTGAAGGCCTCGGTCAGATAACCAAAAGCTCCATTGGCAGGTCATCATATAAGACCCGCATCAGGAAACTTGTCCTGTTTCCTGACGAACCTAACCTAACTTCAAAATAGTTCCTGATCAAGCGGGTTGTGGTATATACGTTGGAATTTTGGCAGCGGGCACTTGATCGATCAAGAGGTCTGGTGTGGGACCGGACCGTGGGGGCGCTGACCTCCGGAAGCGACTCTAGATAAACTCGAGGTAAACCTTCCTTATGAAACAGACACTGAAAATTAGAAGCCAATCTGAAGAGGCATTTCCTAGTTATTACTCACAGCACTTTTAATATGAAGGCCGAGTAAAAGCTGCATTCTCTACTTATCATCGATGATGGGATAAAGGTAACCCTTTGGGGCTACCTAGAAGAGAGAGAGAGAGAGAGAGAGAGAGAGAGAGAGAGAGAGTGAGAGTCGACTAACGTCGAGTCAATATTTCATCCGTATCAGACACAAGAGTTTCCAGCTTGGGCAAAACGCCTCACGTTAACATTAATAGTTTGACCAAACTTCTGACATTATCGAACAATCTCTACGTGGATGTTGTGTGTCGAGATTTACAAATTGTCAAAAAGTGCAACTTATGTGACATTTTATTGTGGCAACGTTTCGCTCTCCAGAAGCTTTGTAAAGCCGTCGGTAATTCTACCAACTTTATTACAATAGGTTAATGTTGCAAAATGAAATGGAATTCTGGTTTCATTTTCTTTTCTTTTGTGTCCATTGGGGGGGGGGGGGTAGGGGAGGTATTTTCTTCGTTAGGAAGCAAGACAAGTATTTTTTTGGAGGTGTAACAAGGTGCAGCTGATAATGTGGGATGGGGCAGAGTGCACTTAACAATGATTATTATTATTATTATTATAATGAAAGGGGAAGCGCTAAACCCGTAGGATTATACAGCGCCTGAGGAGATGGGATGAGGAAGGTATTCAGGTTTAATTCAGGGAACTGGAGCACAGATCCAATTCCCAAGATCAAGAGCCCCTCACCAGGTTCAAGGAACCTCCCTTGAGGGGTTAACAATGATGAGGGGTAGGGCAAAGTGCACTTGACAGTGAGGGGGGTGAGCCAGGGTGCACCTGACAGTGAGAAGTGTGGCAGGGTGCACTTGGCAGAGTCAGTTACATGTAGTCACCCTTTTTGTCCACCCATAGCTTGGTTGGTTAATGAGGCTGAAAGCCTGTTAACTACACGAGGGTCATTAAGGCTGCTTGGTGACCTCTTCGCGACCAGACAACATTACTTTAATCCCTAAAACAGAGATTAAAGAAAACTCAGGAAACATACATTGAGAGAAATGAAAAGACATTAAGCTAGGTTAGGTATAATTCGTCAGCAAACATGTCAAATGTTTTCTGAAGCGGGTCTTAGTTATATGATGACCCGCCTCCACTGCTGCTTTTGGTCATCTGACCGAGGCCTTCCACTGGCTTACCGGTCCAGCGCCCCTTTAAAAATTAGTATTGTCCAAAGAGATTATTATACATTCTTAATGTAAGCTAGAAATTATAGCAGAGTTAATTCATGAGGTTTCATTATACTCTCATAAGTGTCCAGTGTCGATTATAGTACCGAATAAAAATCGGTCATCGGTTTCTACTTTTAAGTATTAATACAAGTGTCTGCTGACATATGTCCCTATTAAGATGGCATAGGAATTAAAGATGATCTGGAAGCCTGCCCAGGAGTTTAACCCCAGGCCTCTTGTTCCTATAACTAGCAATAACCTGGTCGTTGATGCATCTTATGTTAGCAGAATGTGAGAGACGTACCTCCATGCGCTGCTGACCTGCCTCGATCACCATGCCTTTGCTCAGCAAGACGTAGCGGAACCTCTCCAGGTAGAAGTTGCTCCTCACGTGAAGGATGACGTACTCACCCACCTGCGGGAGAGAGAGAGAGAGAGAGAGAGAGAGACTGAGTGACGTACTCACCCACCTGTGGGAGTGACCGAGTGACATGCTCACCTGTGGGAGAGGGAGAAAGCGAGTGGAGGACTTACTCACCTACCAGTGCATGAGTGTGCGAGTGTATAGTAATTAATAATTGTCAAAGGCACTTGTCGATAGACACTTGGCCTATTTCGTGTGTGTGTGTGTGTGTGTTGTGTGTGTGTGTGTGTGTGTGTGTGTGTGTGTGTGTGTGTGTGTGTGTGTGTGTGTGTATTACACAGTTTAAAGCAACAGGCGGATAAAGGAAAGGAGAAACATAATTATTTCCCAGGTATCTGTGTTATATAAACATTCAAGCATACCGTAGGGAAAAAAATTGTCCTTATTTGCTGCATCTCCATACATGTCACTTAACCAATAGATTTCACTTATCTTCAGTTATTATTGTAGAATATTTAATATGGATTTGTATAAAACCAAGTCAGTTGAGGGTCGCAAGCAAGCAGCCGTCAGTTTATACTGCCAGTGTTAAATAAAAATATTATTTTCGGATAGTGAGAGTGACAAGTTGGTTAGATCTATACCTCCATTTACTACTACCCTCCATGTTCGGTATCTCCATCTGCTGGTACTTTCAATGTTGTATACCTTCATCCACTAGCACTCTCCATGTTATATACCTCCATCCATTAGTACCCTCCATGTTATATACCACCATCCACCAGTACTATCCATGTTATATACCACCATCCACCAGTACCATCCATGTTATCAACCACCATCCACCAGTACCATCCATGTTATACACCACCATCCACCAGTACCATCCATGTTATCAACCACCATCCACCAGTACCATCCATGTTATATACCACCATCCACCAATACCATCAATGTTATATACCTCCATCCATTAGTACTCTCCATGTTGTATACCACCTTCCACCAGTACTCTACATGTTCCTTTATTAGACGTAACATTAGCAACGCCTGAGAAATGGTTTCTTGGAAAGTTGCCTTGGAAATGTTATTTAGAGAAGTGACTTTATGAAGGTGCCTCACTCACAAAGGTCACCTTGAATGATAACATACCAAAGAAAGCGAGTTATTTTGAAAGCTTACTGGAAGAGGTAATTTAGAAAAGAATCCTTGGAAGTCTGACTTGTAAAAATAACACATGTAGGCAATTTGAAATGTAAAAGAATGAAAACAGAAGTTTGTAAATTTCTTGAATGAACAACTGTGACCTCACGCCAGACCACCACTGTACCCACTAGGTCACTGAATGAACCCACCTGGTGACCTGGTCAGTATGTAGTTGGTTATGTGCAGCTCAGTTCCTGGGATCAGTTCCCAAAACTCCTAACACACTAAAGTCACTTGGAAAGTGTTCTAGAGAAGTGGCTGACCTTAGGGCTCCTAGTGCTGGTTGTGACTTGAAGGTGGCGTCCTTTAGGAGAGTGGTGGGCCACGGTGATCAGGGAGGCGTAGGAGCGACTGCCCATGGCATCCTTCAACTCGGCGTCCAGGCGCATGGACTCGATTTCCATGGCAACTTCAACGTCCACTGTGGGTAGGCAAGAAGATAGTTGACAGGTTGGTAGGTAGTTAGATAGAGAGGCTGATTAGTTGACTGGTAGGAGGATAGATAGGTAGGATGGTTGATAGGTAATTAAATGAGTAGCCTCTACTTGCAAAGCCAGTTATCGGTTGGTCGTCCTGTAGCTACATGGGACGGACACTTTCTTTTATTTTTTAATGTCTCAAACTTATGATCTTGTCAAGAATAATTCAGTGGAAACACTTAAGATGCCAAAACAAAGTTTGGCAAGAAATAAAAAAAAGTTCATTTGGCTGCTGGACAATTACCAGATGGAGCATCATATTAATATATCCAGATGTACTCCTGCAAATCGTTTTAGAGCCTAGTTCCTAGACCTTTTGTGAATCCATAAACTCTTGCGCTACCCTCCACAGGATGGATATGGGTTGCGCAATAAACTAGCAGCTTCGGTGGCAAAATCTAAAAATCTAATTCAGGACCTGGACGACACAACAACAGTTATTAACAACACTCTTCACAAAGCAGATAAATAAGTTTCAGGATGACTCTAATAAAGCAGTCTACCCTGAAGAAAATGGAAGAAAACAGGCGAGGAAGGTGGACGGAGAGGGAGACGGCGGAAGGGAGGGGAAAAGAATGAAGAGAAGGAATGGAGCGGTAAAGGGTGGGAAAGGAATGGAGTGAGGTAGAAAGGAAGGAATGGAGTGAGGAAGGAAGGTACGGGAGGGAAGAGAACTCACCTAGCTCAACATGGAGGTCAATCTCAGCTTCCCAGAGAGCGTAGCGAGCGTGGGTCATCTTGACGGTGCGGGAAAGAAGCTTCCGCCTCTCACCGGTGTAAAGTGTCACCTCGGGGCTCACCAGCAGTCTGTGTCGGGAGAGCCGCCACTCCGGAACCTTGGATCCGTCGTGCTGCGTCGCAGACAACTGTGGACACACTCACGAAATGTCAGTATCAAAACCAGGTATAATGCACAAATAACCTGCATATAATGGAGAGAAGCTTATGACGACGTTTTGGCCCGATTTGGACCATTACAGGTCGAATCGAAACGTAGTTACAAGCCTCTCCTATGTGCGGGTTATCTGAAACTTTACAAGGACAATGCAAGATGATTTTTCTGAAAGTCAACTTAGTCAGCATAGCTTAGTGTTGCAACATAGTCTGGCTGGGGTGCTCAACATAGCCTGGCTGGGGTGCTGCTCAACATAGCCTGGCTGGGGTGCTGCTCAACATAGCCTGGCTGGGGTGCTGCTCAACATAGCCTGGCTGGGGTGCTGCTCAACATAGCCTGGCTGGGGTGCTGCTCAACATAGCCTGGCTGGGGTGCTGCTCAACATAGCCTGGCTGGGGTGCTGCTCAACATAGCCTGGCTGGGGTGCTGCTCAACATAGCCTGGCTGGGGTGCTGCTCAACATAGCCTGGCTGGGGTGCTGCTCAACATAGCCTGGCTGGGGTGCTCCTCAACATATAATAGTTTCCGAGATAATTTCTTCATTCTCTTAGCTATGAATATTAATAAGCGGACGAACCTTTCAAGGAGGTGCCTTAATGCAGGTGATGGCTTTTAATTCAAGGAATTGGAGCTACCCTTACCTTCCCTGAATCAAACCTGATTACTCCCCATTTCCCAGGAGTTGCAGACCCTTACGGGAGTAGCGCTTTCCATGACTGATTATTATTATTATTATTATTATTATAATCAAGGGGGATTATTATTATTATTATTATTATAACCCGGAGTGCCTGACTCTGTGACCGCGGGTTCAATCCCGGCTGGGGTATGGTTTATAATCCGGAGGATTATACAGCGTCTGGGGGGGGGGGATGTGGAAGGCATTCAGGCTTAATTCGGGGAACTGGAGCACAGATCCAATTCCCTAAATCAAGAGCCCCTCACTAACATCAAGGAACCTTCCTTGAGGGGTTTCCCTGACTGACAAAACCTACTACATTATGTTTGGTAGCAGAGCAGGAGATGCGCAAATTAACATTAAGATCGACAACACTCTAATTGCCAGGCATAATGAGGGCAAATTCCTAGGCCTATACCTCGACAACAACCTGAACTTCAGCACCCATATCCAACACATAACCAAAAAAGTATCCAAAACGGTTGGGATCCTCTCCAAGATACGATACTATGTGCTGCAAACTGCCCTTCTCACACTATACCATTCACTTATATATCCATACCTCACCTAAGCTATCTGTGCTTGGGGATCAACTGCAGCAACACACCTAAAGCCAATAATAACCCAACAAAAAAGCCGCAGTAAGAATAATCACTAAATCCCATCCCTGGCAACACCCCCCCCCCACTCTTCATAGATCTAAACTTACTCCCTGTTCAGTACATCCACACTTACTACTGTGCAATCTACATCTACAGGACCTTAAATTCCAATATTAACCTTGACCTAAAACGCTTTCTTGATAGTTGCGACAGAACCCATAGGCACAACACCAGACACAAACATCTCTGTGACATTCCCCGTGTCCGACTAAACCTTTAAAAGCTTACATTAGAGGTTTTATTAAATTTGTAAATTAGGTGGGTGGGGCAGGGTAGGGATGGTACAATGTGTTATGTTAATGGGCTGTCAGGGGTGGAAACGGGGTCGCCTCCTGGTATGTAGCGGGTGAATGTGTATGAACTTGGGCGTATGATGTGTATTCATGGTTTGTGACGAGTATACTCAATATATGTGTTTGATTTTGCAGTAGGACATTGTTCTATGTATGTTACTCATATGCATGTTGTTAGATGATTGTAGAGGTGTCAGTGTGTTGGATCCTTGTTTATTAATATATTCTGTGTTTGATGAACATATTGTTTTTACCTTATTCTCAATACATTACGTTAATTGTATTTAACGTATACGGTGTCCTACTTTATAATTTACAAAGTGACAATATATGCATATTATGGTGTGTTTTGTTAATCATATAACAATGCAATTGGAATTAGTCGGTTATTGGTTATCATAGGTGTAGGGGTTTTCATGTATGGGTGAGGAGGGTTATTTGTGTTATCTCAAGTTCATGTTTGTGTGGTTGTTAATGATTTATTCTGTGTAAGACCTGTTTTTGTCTTTATCTATCTCTTGTATTGTATTGTTCTAAATAAAATAAAAAAAAAAAAAAAAAAAAAAACTTTACAAAAATTCAATGTATGTCAAAGGCCCTAAAATCTGGAACACCCAACTGAAAATTCTAAAACTGCAGACACATTCATCACCTTCAAAACTACCATCAGAAAACATCTTATCTCCCTGATACACCCTGTCAACTAATTACACGAATACCACCTGGTGGTTCACACTTACACTCGCTCACCCATTTGACCATAAACAGAAATATCAATCTCAATCTCAAAATAATGAATCTTAACTAGTCATAAGTTGGCCTGTGATACTCCAATACTGAAACTATGTATAGTGCCAAAACAAAAGCATTCACATTGCTAAACTCACAAACTAGTATTTAGTCACTTAGCCATAATACCAACTAACCTCATAATTTTGTAATATTTTAAACTTAAGATTTAATTTAAGTCTGCCCGAAATGCCTAGCCATGCTAGGTGTTCTAGTGGTACACTCTGTAATTATTATTTTACTACATGTAAACCACACAATAACCAAATTCTGTAAACTCAGCATTGTAATCCTTAAAGAGAATAAATTTTGAATTTGAATTTGAATTGAAAAATAATAATCACAGGCAGAATTATGAAAGAAAACGTTATTGCGCTCCCAGAGCCTCAAAGGGTAACTCACGTAAAATTTGAAGGGCATTGCGGGGCGTAGGACCTGCGGAGACTCTCCTAGGAAGTCGAGTTTGATGGTCGAGCTGAAGATCCTAGTGGAGGCGTAGCCAGAGTGGGCCACATCCCAGTAGGCGTCTCCTACAGTGGCGGTCACTCTCACCTCCCGACCCTCCGTCGCCGACACCAGCTCTTCCAGGTCTGACATCCGGAACTTGAAGGCAAAAACTCCAGCAAACTGTGGGGTACATGTGGGCCGTGTTGGCGAGGATGTGAAGGAGGTGGTGGTAGTGGAGGTGAAGATGAGGGAGAGAGTTGGGGTATGGAGGGGTGAGAGAGGGATAAGAAGTGTGGGGGATGTGAGGAGGAGTTGTTGTGTTTGTGTGGGAAGGATATTGAGGTGTGTCCAGGGGGTGTGAGAAGATATAGTTGAGGTATGGTGATGTTAGGGAGAGAGTTGTAGTATGGAGTACGAGAGTGAGAATAAAGTTAAAGTATTGAGTTGGAGAGGGATATTTGGAGTATGATGGAGGGGGGGGGAGATAGTTGTGATAAGAAGATGGAGTGAGGACGAGACGGTGGAAGAAACGTATGTTTAGTGGTGTTAGTAACGAGAATGATGGTTGTAGTAGTGGTAGTGTTGGTGTTGTGGTGTCATTGTCGGGGTGGTGTCGGCGTCGTGGTGGCGTGGGTGTCGTGGTGGTGTTGGTGACGGTTATATAAAATATAGAAACGATGATTACAACAGAGGCAAGAGTTGTGGTGGCAGAAGCAACAACAGGAAAGAACAGACCGAGAAGAGTTGCATTTTGTTTGTGGAAAGAATTTCCACGTCATAAATATAAGTAGCCAGGAAAGAAAGTTCAGAAATGGTGGGGGAAATTGTGGAGGTAAAGAGATTGGAATTATGGATGAACACCGAGGTGAGGTACGAGAGTGGAAGGAAAGGAGGGGGTGGATAAGGAACAGGAAAAGTAGAAATAAGGAAGAAATGGAAGGAGTGAAGAGTAAGAAGACAACCAAGAAATAAGGATGATGAACATGTCAGGAATCAGAGAGGAGGGAAGGATTGGAAGAGATGAAACAATATATTAGTCACACAGCACAACAGGAACCATGAATATAATTTACACACTATATTAAATACTTGTATTCAGGTAAATATTATGTATGTATAAACTAACAAAACAATGTAGCAGAATAAGCAGACTCAAGAAAGCAAGCAGGACCAAAACAGTGCCAAAAGTTAATGGAAAATCGTTCATGTTACTGTAGAGAACGCTAGTGTCAACACTAGTAGCCAGGGACTACGGCTACACAAATCCAATTTTGCGAAGTAAGCCAAAACAGGCACTGTAAAAATACAAGAAATAAGAATAACCAGAAAATAAATAATAAGAAAACAGCACAGAGTAGCTGAGTCTGGCAGGACATCAACGATCTGGATTTATCACTGACAAATAGTCTAGTCACCTCGGCCATTAGGGGATTCCGTCTGTTTACGTTCATGATGAATCGTCTGTTCTCGCGGTGTATCTGATGACAAGTAGAATCAATAACTTATCCCAGACAAACCAAAACTCTCCCAGGGTTAAATAACGTTGACTTAATTACGTTGTTAGAGCTAGCTGGTGAACATTGTAAGTAAAATTACTCACAGCCACAATATAACTGCCAGTGAACATGTCCAAGCAGGGACACCATGTAACTTGAGTCACTGTCCACTTCCCATAAAGCTTATTTGCCTCCCAGTCCAACGGCGCTGTATTATTACTACCGATTTAACGCTTCCGGCTATGTAATAATATTTCATAATTACGCAATATTCACGAACGCTTACAACATAGAGGCTACTGCTGAATGAACTAAGTTCTAACAGCACTAAGCAAAACAGTAATGTCCTCAGGAACAAGACACGACACAATCAGGATCTCTAGGAAAGCTTCGTTGGTCCAACCAATCAGAAACAACTAGTTAAGAATTAGGAGCCAATCCAGAGCAGCCAGACAGAACTAGCCAGTTACAAACAACCCTTTAGTGTAATCAATTTGAAATAGCTAAAAAGCAAATATTGATAGCCTATTAAAAACTCTAATGCCATAATCGTCACTGTTTTATTTACCAGCTTGAGACTAGCTAATATGAAAGAACGGAATGAGAACAACTAGCAAGGAAAACAATAGTTTGTAAAAGCCAATTCGGTGTGACTGATATGACTAGTAAAGAATAGATGAATGTAAATAGCTAAGAACAGCCAATTGGAAATACTCAATTAGAAACAATCGTTCAGAATTAGCCAATTATTTATCAAGTAGAAACAAGTGAATTAGTAATAGTCAATTAGAAATAGTTAATCTTAAATAATCAATTAGAAATAGTTGCAAATAATCAATTAGTCATCTAGAAATAGTTAAAGGACACCACCTGTCCCAGCCTCGAAGGATCTTTCACTAACACAGCCTACGTATATTCCATCACCTGTGTAAGGTGCGTCAGATGGGTGTTACATTGCAATTGGTATTTGTGTAGCATAGTGTGGGGGCATGGGTTATGTAACGGTTGATATAGCGAACATAGGCACCGAAGACAAATAACAACAATAGTAATAATAATAACTGGTAATAATTATCATTATTTTAATATCATTGTACAAAAACAAACAACGATTTGAAACAACATTTTATATCGGGTGTTGGAACGAATTTTTTTTTTTATATCGGACGTAAGAGCAAAATAATCTATATGTTGGATGCAGGAGCAAAATATTTTTTTTTTGCATCGATTATTAGAACGATATAATTTTTAAAGTTGACAGAAGGGAATAACATACTGGCTCCGAGAACTGTTCAACATACATGTTGTGTATTCTTGGACATGGCTCTACCATCATTTATGTGTCATATGCCATCATGTGTTATGTGCCATCTTACATGTGTCATGTGCCTTTATACACGAGTCATGTACCATCATACATATGTCCCCTTAAATTGTAAAAGGTGACTCAAGGGAGGTAGGTGCCTTGATGCCGGTGATAAGGGTTGGGGGCGGAGGGGAGAGGGATCTTGAACCAAGGAATTGAACCTGTTTTCCCTTTCCTGGGATAGAACCTGATTGCCTCCCACTTCTAGAAACGACGTATGATCCCTAGAAAAATGAGTGCAAGATATTTGTCGGAAAAAAGTGCCAGATTTTCATACGTATGTGCCAAGTACTGTTTGATATGGGTGCCAAATACTGTTCGATATGGGTGCCAAGTACTGTTCGATATGGGTGCCAAGTACTCTCGGACAAGGATGGAAAAGACTTGGATATGGGTGCTAAATAACGTGAGTACCAGGCGAAGAGAGAGGCAGGTGCTAGGTGGAGTGGGGCAGGTGCTAGGTGGAGTGGGGCAGGTGCTAGGTGGAGTGGGACATGTGCTAGGTGAAGAGAAAGGGGCAGGTGCTTGGTGGAGTGGGACATGTGCTAGGTGAAGAGAGAGAGGCAGGTGCTAGGTGGAGTGGGACACTGGTGGCGGAGATAGTGCAGGGAACGAGGCTAGGACACGCACTTACAATGTGGTTGCTCTGGTTGGCACGGGCATACCATACCCCCGACCCCCTTGTCAACAAACTGCCCTGCAATGGTCGTGAGAAATGGTTACAATGGTTACATAGCTACAACAGTGGTATTGGACACGGGTGCGTAAGTGTTTTTGGAAACGGGCGCAAAGGGTACAGGTGAAAATGCTAAAGAACCAATGGATATGGGCGACATGTCTTTAACGACATACATGATATAAGAAATACATGATATATAGTACTCAGAATTATGTATAATTATGACTCACGAAATTGTAATGACATGGTCTGGAGTTTTGTGACTGATCGCGGGTTCAAACCCCACCCGTGGTATGGTGTGATTATGTATAATGCTTGCAATGAAGGTTGTATACTGTTAGATGTATGAAGTGGTGGTATTAAGTTATGTATATTGTTGCAAATAAATAATATTCTAGTAACTGAAAGGTGTAGCTGTTGAACACCAGAGGTACCTACAGTGGATGATGCTAGAGGTACCTACAGTGGATGATGCTAGAGGTACCCAGAGTGGATGATACTAGAGGTACCCAGAGTGGATGATACTAGAGGTACCCAGAGTGGATGATACTAGAGGTACCCAGAGTGGATGATACTAGAGGTACCCAGAGTGGATGATACCAAAGGTACCTACAGTGGACGCCAGAGGTTCCTACAATGGATCCAGAGATAACCAAGTTACTGAAGTGTAAGGTGTCTACAATGGAGGCAGAGATAACTACAATATGAAGGTAAGGATGACCTATAGTGGAGGTCAGAGGGAGCTACAATGGAGGTGAGAGGGACCTACAGTGGAGGTCAGAGGGATCTACCATGGAGGTGAGAGGGAGCTACAGTGGAGGTCAGACACACCCACAGTGGAGGTCAGAGGGAGCTACAGTGGAGGTCAGAGTGACTTTTATACCTCTCACTAGAGTGCTTTAGTAACTTATTGCTCTCACTACATTATGGTGATCAAACTCTCAGTACATACACTCAGAGATACACACCACCATACATTTACTCAGTTATACATCGCTCCGTGTATGTCGTAATACAAAGATTAAAGTATACTTAATGTTAAAGCATTAGTGAATTAGTAATAACGGAAGAATTACCGACAAAATGTTTGGTTAATGGCCACAGATGCAACTAATGTGACATTTTACTGTGGTAACGTTTCGCTCTCCAGGAGCTTTGTTAAGCTTGACGAAGTTCCTGGAGAGCGAAACGTTGCCATAATAAAATGTCACATTAGTTGCATCTGAGTTCATTTACCTAACACTAGTGAGCTGCTACGTTGATAAGCCTCGTCTTGCAGACTGACTGCACCTGGGTACAAATTTGCGCCTGAGAAACAGTCTTAATAATCTTACGAAAAACCAGCAAGTGGTTGTGGACATTTCTTATATATCGCCAGTTAGGTTTGTCAAGAAACAGGTCAAGGGTTTCCTGAAGCGGGTCTTAGACATATGAAGACCCGCAGTTAGAGCTTTTGATCATCTGACCGAGGCCTTTTGCTTATATCGCCAGTCGCGTGCCAGTTACAGTATATGAGCTGTAACATGCAGCCTATATGACGGTGTGTTCACTTATAGGACTAGCTTCTCTTAGGACAAATCTAGGCAATGATCCTCCTCTCCCTTTTTCAAAATGGGTGTAAAAAACCCGCTATGGTAAG